GAATCTTGAGACTGTGCCATCCAGGGTTGGGGTGGTTCTAAATTCAGGACTTTATAAAAGAAGATGCAGGGCATGGAGAGTAAGAGGGCAATGAAGATAGAGGCAGAGACCAGAATCACAAGCCTCCAAGCCAAGGAACACCAGAGACTGAAGCCACTTGCCAATGGCTAGGGGACACTTGGGGATAAACTCTCTGACTGCCTCCAGGAGGCGCCAACTGAACCAACCCAGACATCAGACTTCTGCCCTCCAGACTGTGAGCAACACCTTTTTGTTGTTTAAGCCACACCACTTGTTGGATATGGTGGCAGCTGAGAAAGTGCCACGACCAAAACCACCACTGTGGCCTCCACCATTAATCCTGCAGAGTGCTTGACAAGTCTGGGCTCTGTATCCTTGGGACCTTCACCAAGGACCTCCCACTCACAAGGGGTCAGCTTGTGATCATTGGACTCTGTCTAGCCTAACAAAAGGGACTCATCCAAGCTTACTGCCACTGATGACAGGGCCTAGTGGCTGGGGCCCCCAGCTCATCCAACTTCAGATCAAGGCTTCCTATCGTGGGGTGGGGGCCAGGGGAGAAAACTCTGCCTGCCCCTGCCTGGCTATCTCACCCTCCTACACCCACCTCTGTGGTTCCTGGTCATGCCTGCAGCACTCTGGCCTTGCAAAATTTTCTAGCTTATGTATGATATTACTGAGGCCTTAGGATGCTGCCCTGCCTCCCATCGTAGTGCTCCCTACAGGAGACCAGAGAGGTAGCTTTGACATGCTGGCCAGAGCAGGTCCTCAGCTTGATTATACAGTGCCATGCATTCTTGCTATGATCACATAGCAGCCCTGTGCAGTGTGCAGGATGGGGTGTGCCTACCATTGAGGTAAAGCCACTAGCCTAGGGTGGCTCCTGAGCAACGGTGCGTGCGTGCGTGCGTGCGTGTGTGTGTGTGTGTGTGTGTGTGTGTGTGTGTGTGTGTGTATGTGTGTCCTCCTTGAGATTCTCCATCCATCAGATTCTATTTGAGCAGCTAGAATTAGCTTCATGGTATCCTGGTAGTGCCACACTCCCATTCGGCCCATGTCTCTTTCCTCTCCCTTGTGGCCCTCATGGTTCTTCCTCTGTTGTTCAGATAGGGACCTGAGGCTCTGCCCTCCTGCCTGCAGCCTGGTAGGGCCTTGTGGACACCCCTGCCTGCTGCCAGCTCTCCATAAGGGTCATAGCAGACACATGATTATTTCTGCCCTGGGGATTCTTTCCCTAATTTCTGACTTGTTGGAGGCTCCCACCAGGAGGGAGAAATGGACTGGACCTGAGCAGGTTCAAGTTCCTGGCTTTGGGGAGGGGTGGGATGGGCAGGGCACCCAGATTCTATGCAGGAGAGGCACCCAGCCTCCTCTATTGTTCTGGGTTCCTGAGACAGGTCTGGGGGGACTTGCCTACCTCCATAACACATGTGCATGCGGCACTCAACTGGATGGCAGGCTGTTGGGAGCTGAGGGGCAGCTGGGAGGAGTCTTGTCTTGCAATTTAGGGTTCCCTTCTTGACTCTGTAATTCTGTATGCTGGCCCCATGGTATTTGAAATCTTTCTGACAGTTTGCTTGAAACCTTCCTTTAAAGAGGGAAGACTAAGAGCCAGGCATGGTGGCACATGACTTTAATCTCAGCACTCGGGAAGCAGAAGCAGGTGGATCTCTCCGAGATTGAGGCCAACCTGGTCAAGTTCCAGGCCAGTTAGAGCCACAGGAAGACCCTGTCTCAAAAAACAAAACAAAACAAAAAACTCCCCCAACCCCCAAAACAAATACCTCCCAAACCCAAACCAAAGCAAGCAAACAAACAAAAAGACCCCAAAAGATTGACTTAAGAGGGGTCATTTTTCAAGAGTCTTTTTCTAGAACTGCCGCAGGCACAGGGTGCTAAGCATAACATGCAGACCAAACCCAGTCCCCTGAAGCCCAGTCCCATAAACTCCCAGGGGTACAGGCAAAAGGATGATACCCTGGGACACCTGAGACCTGTAGCCCAGGACCCTCTGAAGCATGAAGAGAGCTGAAGAGAGGGCCCAGACACCCTCCAGCAATCTTGGATTATCAGGGCCAGAGACCCTCCAGCTCCTGTTCTCCCTTCCTTTCCTGACCTTAGCATTTGTCCTGTTTGTAGGTTCTGATGCCAACTGTTCCTCCATGCACAGCCCATGACAGTGTCTCCAGTACTGAGACAGCTTGTAGGATGAAGCAGGGCAGGACCCCTGGCCACAGGTGAGGAGGCTCAGGGGCAGAGAGCTGCAGTGAGACACCCAAGGTCACACAGGTGGCTAGTGCCCTGCTCCCTTCAATCTGGAGTCAACACATGGGGATGCCCAGGACCCACATGGGCCACTGCTGCTTCTTTCCTGGGATCTGAGAGAGCTCAGTGGGAACCCCCATGTTTCCCACTGTAGCCTTGGACAGACCCTTTCTCCTGGCTGGGTCTGAGTTTCACTCTTCTAGATGGCTTGGTTGGGTGAGTTCTGAACACACACATCTGCTGTGGCTGTCTGGGGTCATTCTTGACACAGAATCACAGAAACCTACCCCTGCTGGGAACTGCCTGCCTACACCCTCCCAGGTTTTTGGCCAGGGAGTAGTACTTCAACTGGGTCTGACCTAACCCCAGAGGGGCTAGAAGGTGTCAGTTCTAGCTATGTGACCTTGGGTGTTGACTTCTTGTCTCTGGACACAGCTTCCTCACTTAGGACATGGGGACACCAGAATGGTCCTACAGAGGCAGTGTATGTAGTACAATGTGCTATTTGTCTGGGGTTCCTGACTGTGATTGGGAGAGAGCAGAGGGGAGGTAGGCTGTGGAGGGGTTGGTATCTTAGGCTCTGCACAATGAATCACATAGCTTTTCTGCCCTATCGACTGGAGGGGACCTGAAGGCTGCTGGAGGCATCCCGGAGGTCCTGGCTCTGATACCCCACATCAGTGGACTGACTTCTGGGTTCCAGAAAAGGCTGGTGGGGGCTTCTGGGCTGCTGACAGTCTGGGCCATGGGCAGTGGCCATGCCTACCGACTACTGCAGCCTTCTCTGCAGACCATCAATCACCACAGATGGCCTTGTTCAGCTCAATCATAGCTCCCTGGGAACATGGGCTGACCCGCCTCTTAGGCCTGTGGGAAGCATGGTGGCCACTCAGGACCCAGTGTCCATCTGGCCACCCAGGCAGTCCCCCAGGGGCCTCTCCCCAATGCCCACAGGACCACCTTTGTTCTTGGAAACTGAGGGAGCATGCACTGGAAACTGAGGGGGCATGCATACAGTGTCTACTGAGGTGCGGAAGCTGTAACTGCTGCTGCTTTACGTGTCATGGGCATTCACCTGTAGGCACATTCTAGGGCACTGTGTGCCACCCATACACACAGGCACACTGGTGGTGTGTGTTTGTCACCTGTATTCCTAGGGCAGCCCTCACACAGGCACCCGCAATATTATGGTGGCTGCTGCGAGTTCCTATGTGCCAGGGATGTGTGTATGTAGGGACAGGCTACACTCAGTGGGCGTGCATGCTGCATTCAACATGGGCCATGAAGGATGTGCACTGTGTGTGCACGGGCTAGGGTACAACTGTGAGCACAGATGAACATGTATGACATACCATTTGTGGGTTCTATATTGGTATGTGTGCACTGGAGTGAATTTGTACACATGCACTATTCTGCAAATGGTCCTGGGTGTGAAGTGGCTAAGCATCCTTCCTGGTACCCCCTTCCCCTAAGAAGTCTCCCCAGACAGCATCCTCTCCTTGCCATCATTCCTTCAAGGAAGTTACAAGGCGGAAGCCCTGAGCTCAGAGGTTTGTGCTCCAAGCCCCCTCCCACTGCACACGTCAAGAGAGAATTTCTCCGGATGGCGCCGCTGCTCCTGGAAATGCCCCAAACGTCAGCTCTCCCTCCTCCTAGCGATGTGGAGAACCATGCCCAGTGAAGGGAGCCCCTTCCACATTGTGCTGTGTTCAGCGTCACACTGAGACCCTCTACCGGTAGCTCTGCGGGTGGCTGGCCTGCTCACTTACCTTCTGAAGGTCGAGCCAGGCTCAGTCTTTGAGGGGGCCTCCTCTGATAGGGGGGTGGGCCAGTTGTAAAGTCCCCTCCTCACTCAGTATGCTGAGCAGAGGTCAGAGAGTTGCCTTAAAAATAATGGTGGCTGAAGACAGCTGCCCAGCTGGGGAGGTCCTGAGCCCTGGCGGATTCCAGATCCTGCAGGGGGTCAGGGAGGAGCCCCAAGTGTCCCAGGGCTTAGAGAGGCCACCGGGGCTTCCAAGCTGAAAGTGCCAACTCCACCATCTATCTACCGTGACTGCTGCAAAATGGCCTGACCACCCACTCCTGCCCTCACCTGCCACAGAGGGGACTTGGGACACATCCCTGCCACCACTGGCCCAGCTCTCCTGACCCAGTGGGACCCGGCACACAGCAGTCCACCCCATAAAGGGACCCTTCACAGGGGATTCCCCTGCCTCTTTCCCGGGACTCGGGCCAAGGTGGGCAGGGGACATCCTCTAGTCCTCTCGATCTCCCAGGGACAGGGCTCCAGAAGAGACTGGTGTCCCTGCCGCCGCGGCTGCCACCACTAGCCCTTGCATAACATCCTGGGGGCATTTGCAGCCGGGAGGCCACTGGCATCCACCTGAGACCGCCCCCCACCCCGCATCCGCACGTCCAAGACTCCCTGCTTGTGTCCCCAGCCCCTACCCTAGCCCCTCACCCTGGAGTGTGTCTCAAGTCAGGCTCACAAGCATCCCAGGCTGCTTCCAGATAAACAAGCCTTGCTCCCCCCCCCGCCCCCGCCGCCACCGCCGCCACCATCAGCATTTGGGGAGAGAAAAAAGGCAAATGCAAAGAAACCAAATAAAATGGGTGAGGGAGGAAGGGGAGAACGGAGCCGGGCGCTTTTTATTTTTTATTTTCTCATGCTTGGTGGTGGTGGTGGTGTGTGGGGGGGGATGCCGGTTACTTACTTGGCTATGGAAATCGCCAGCGATCGGATCGGCTTGGGTTCCAGGCGGGCAGCCGGTAATCGCGGTGCGGCAGCTGGCGCCGCGCGGAGCCCAGCCCGCGCTCCCGGGTCCCTCCGCAGACTGTACCATCGCGCCCGCGGCTGGGGGGGCGCGGCCGGCGGCTCCACGCACACGCCAGGGCGGCCGCCCGGGGGAGGGGCGCGAGCGCGGACCGAACCACCCGGCGCCCAGGCAGGCTGCTACCGGCATCCTTCCCGCGGGACGGGATCGGCGGCTGCCCGCAGAGTCCCTGGGAGAGGCCGGCTACCCGCAAGCAGAAGGCTGTGTCAAGGGCACTCCGAGGGGAGGGAGGGTCAGGGCCCAGCGCTGACAGAGCAGAGAGTAGAGGGAGGTGAGAGCCTAGGAGGAGGAATTGGGTTCAAATGGCCCTCAAGTCACTTCCTACTTTATGGGGGACAGTGTTAGATAGGGTAGGGGGCTCTAGCCTCCTGGGTGCGGACAGGGCACCCCCATATCTGGGGACAAAGATGGCATGGGGAAAGGGCACACCTGAGTGCACCTATGGAGGTAGAGTCTGTGGGGCAGAGTCCCCAGCCAGCTGCTGACTGTCACCTAGGTCCCCTCTGCAATCCCACACCCTGCCTGGGTGTGTCCACCTCCCCCAGGGTGTGGGCAGGCACGGTCAGGGGAACTCCTGAAGGGGCCATTACTCTGCTGTCTGGAGCAGGAGTGTTAGTACATGCCCACTATCTGCCAGGGTATCTGTGATGAGTTGGGGGCTGATGGCTCTGGAAGCTGACCCAAGGCTATCCAGTTGCCCACTTCTCCCTGCCTCATCTCCTCCCAGGGCTGCCCTGTGGACTTTTAAATTCCAGACAGATGGGACCACAGCTTTAGCAGCCAGGTGAGGTGGCCTCAGTGGGTGGGGGTGGGGAGCTTCTCCTGTTTCCCTCACTGGCTGAGGCCTCTCTGAGCCAGGTCTGTGGTCACACTTCACACCCAGGAGGGGCTCCCTGTTTGGAAGAGGGCACTGGAGATATAAGGCCAGTGTGTTAGAGCACCTGTCCTGGGAGGCAGGGGCAGAGCAAAGGTGCCCTGGGAGCCAGTTCAGACAGAAGCTGCCTCCTTTTCTGCCCCCTCCTCTGCCCACCTAGGAGCTGCTGGCCTGCCTGAGCATCCCGCGCTGCTGCTCCATCCCTGGCTGGCACGGAATATCAATTTGTCTCGTTAAGCTGAAAGTCTGCACTGCACCAAAATCAGAACCCGCCTCACAGAGGGGCTGCGGAGGGAGAGAGCAGGTCTGTAAGGCAGGGCTCTGGAGCAGGACCACCTGCCTCCTCAAATGCTACCCTTTACTCTCCAGGCTTCACCCTTCAGCAGAGGGTCCCATCTACCCCTGGCCAGGTACAGTGGTCTGTCTGTGTGTGTATGTACAGGAGCGGGGACAGCCAGACACTGAGGATGCCCAGGCCTGGCGACTGTCTTAAGGCAGGAATATGAGGTTCCCACAGGGCAACCCAGGACCCCCAGCAGAGATCTTGCCAAATATCAACAGTTCAGGGTTGGTGAGGCCCCTTTCAAAGTAGCCTCACCTCTGCCTCCTCTTAAGGCTGCATGAGGGGTCTTCACCCTTTCCGGAGGGCATTCTACTGGTCACCCTTCCTGAGTAGACTCATAAGTCAGCAATGTCCCTATGTGCCCCTACCCCAAGAGCAAGAGCCAGGCTGGGAACCCTGTTTTTCAGGTTTAGAGGCCACCCTGCCCCCACCAGAGTCTAGCAAAGGTTTTAGGCCTTGGCTCAGGGAGGCTGGCCCAGAGGGCAGCTGGTGAGGCCTCTGTTTCACCCTGTGTGTGCAGGAGCCCACCACCTCCATGCATCTTTGTCACTGGGGCAAGCCACTTTCTCCGGTGACCAAATAGAGACCCCAGAGGGTTCTGAGGGGGGGCACCCATTTCCACATCATGTCTTTTTCTATATCTGGCTTGAAGCCACCTGCAGCTCAGGAAGCCACAGGTCCTTGCTCAATGCCAGGGGGCTGTGTGCACTCAGAGGAAGAGGCAAGTGTGGCTGCTGGGGCAAGACCACACAGCCGTCAGGATAATCTTCCCCTGTGATTGAGGTCGTCGGTTCCTAGCCCAGGCTGCCAACAGGTGATGGCCAGCTGGGGGGTGTCTGGCCAGGGCCCCAGTAACTCATCTATATGGCAGTCCTGAGTCCTGCCTGCCCAGTGGCCCCATGGAGCCATGCTGGGCTAAACCTATAGACACTAAGAACCCGACTCTTAATCAGTCATGGATTTTGCTTCCTAAGACTGGCCAGGTTTCAAGTATCCATCTCCTTGGCAACACAGTCCCATGTCCTTTGGTCTCTGAGTCCACACCCCAGTGGCTGGAGGTTCTCTAGATCCTAAAGCATCCTAAGTGTTTGCCAACATAGTTTTTCCCTGTATATACACCTGGATTCTAGGCCCACGAACTCCTTCAGCTGCCTCTTTTCTGGGTAGTCCTTCCTGATTTCTCAAATTGACTTGGTTCATGTCTTTCTCAGCTCCTACCATACCACACTGTGCGGTCTATACCTCTGTGCTTCTTACTGGGCTGGGACTGCATTCAGACAGGCCCCTAGGATCCCAGATGCTGGGTCCCAGCATGCATCTGGTCTTGCAGTAAAGACTTGAATGAATCTATTGCTAATTTTGACCCATCAAACCTTAAAACTGGGAAGACCCTTGGGAACTCAATCTCCCATTGCACAGAGGCATGAGCTGAGGCTCCATGGGAAAGCTGTAAGTGCTTTGCCTAATTCTGTTGTTGAGGGTGTGAGGTAGCCATAGACACCAGCCTGCCCCTGCCCTGGGCCTCCTCTCTGGGTTGTGAGCATTTATGGGTCACTGCGCTGTCCTTTTAGGGTGTGTTAGGAGTCAGGGAGCATTGGGCAATCAGACAAACAGAGCATTTGTGTTGAAACTCTGGGAAGGTTGGATGTGACAGGTCAGGGCCACCTACCAGGGAAAGGGCACAGAGGCAGGAGGCCAGCCAGGGGATCACTGATGGCTTTTCCTCCAGTGTCACCTGGCTCACCGTGGACCTGGACTGAAGGTCAGGCCTGGGGTTTGGTCAGCCACACTGAAGAGGGGGTTGGGGCCAGGGCATGAGGTGAAAAGATTGGGGTCCTTTGCCCCAGCTAGTCTGCTTAAGTCACAGGCCAGTGGCCTCTTCCATGGGTCACTGGCTCTGTGTGGATGGGTGGCACCCGCACCTGTTCTCTTGCTAGTGCAAGGCTTTGAGGCACCTAGGCAGGGATCCTGGGGCAGCTCTGGTAATCTGGCCACTGCCATCAAGAGCCTCTAGTTGTCCCCTTGGTGGAGAAGTTCCTTTCCATGATTGTCTCTGACCTTCACAATCACCCTATACTCTGTAGATCCTTTTGCATTTTACAGATAAGAGCAAGCCTTGGGGATCTGAGTACTGTCTAAGAAATAGAGCCAGGAGGTGAAGCCAAGCTAGAAGTCACATCTGTCCCACTGGGGTCTACCCTACCCTCTTTCCTGCTGGGTACCTCTCAAGTCTAAGGCACAGGGATGCTGCCACTGATGCCCCTGAGGGGCTCAGAACACGTATCCAAGAGGCCATTGTGGCCTACTTCTTCCCAGATCTCTTGAGCTACAGTGGGCCCCATACCTACTCCCCACTCCCACCATGACGCCAAACCCCTGCAGCCCCCTGGCTCTAGGGCTGAGCTTTGTGTTCTCCAGACCTGGGTTTAACAATTGGCTCCCTTCTTTACTGCCAGATGACCTTGGACAATCAGATGACTCAACTTCTGGGTCTTAGTTTTCTCATCTGCAGAATGGGGATGCTGATACTTCTTGGGCCATGGTGTCAGTTCAAGGGAAAATGGCAAGTGTTAGTAACCAGGTGAAACCCAGAACTTGGGTCCCTGAGAAGCACCCCAGGAAAATTTGGGGTCCTAGGCCTCTTCTGGCCATTCCACTTAGAGGGGGCATTCTTAAATATTCCCTGTAGGGTATAGGCTATGGTTCCACTCAGGTCCCCAGTTCCTGGCTTTTGCGTCTGCTCTGGCTCCTTCTGTGGGACGGTGTGACCCTGGCTGCTGGTGATTCCCCAGCTGTTACCACTCAGTGCTGTTGACAACCTACTCAACACCAGGCCTTATGTGCAACACCCAAGATGTGAAACTCTGGGAGGTGGGCCCTCCTTGTAGCCCTGTTTTACAGATGAGAAAACGGAGGTAGAGTCAGGTGGAACAGTGAGTCAGTCACCGAGAGTGGGGACACTGGGGTAAGCCTGGGTTTTCCCGCTGGTCACAGGACAGAAACTATCAGCCTCACCCCATACCCAGTGGGCAGGTGTGAGCCCTTTACCTGCCTCTTCTCTGAGGGAAGCCTAGACCCACTGGGCATGAGCTCATGTGGCAACAGAGACAGAAAACTAACAGGAGCAAGCGCCTCAGAGCCCTGAATGGAGGGCTCTTGACGACTGCATGGAAGAGGACATTTTCTCAGGCCCTTCAGGCTGGCACTGCCACCTCTCAGCCATCAACCCTACCTTAGGGCCTTGATCTCTGCCTTTCTCCTACCAACCCCCTACCTGCCACCCCCTGAGGTTCTGTCTCTGACCCTCCCATTACCCTCTAACCTCATATCCAGCTTCCATGCTCCCCAAATATATCCTTCCCTCCACCTGCCTGGAGAACTACTCATCCTTCAAGAGCCCCTTCCAGCAGCCCCTCCTCTGTGAGGTGAGGCCTTCCTGGATTTTCCTCCCTATCAGCTGGTCTTCTTACGCAGGTATTCATCAGGCTAATGTACTCCTAGGGACAGGACAATAGGTCTCATTTCCATGGCACTCTGGCAGTGGGCACAGAGCCTCAATACATATTGACTGAATCCACGAGTGCAGGTTTATTGAATGAAAAAGCAATTCCTGGAGCAGACCTGACCTGCATTTGTCTCCTTTGATGGCACTGGGAATGTTCTTTGGACTGGCTGGGACTTCTGGTTTAAGGGTCTTGTCAATAAGCAGGGTTTCCTCTGCCTGCCCAGTTTGGAAAGGATAAACAGAGGCCAACTTTGCTCATG